CTTGATACAGAAGAACCAGAGTCTCTGAGTCTGTTCTTCTCCATTCCACCTTCAGTCTTTTCTTTAATAAGCGTTTGTTAACCTGACAGGGCAGAACCACTGAACCTCCGAGAGGAACAGCAAGGGAATCAGATTCTTCAACAGTAAAAGCTAAAAATGGAACAACAACATATTACTAATGTGAAAATTCTGTTAACAAAATATTTAAGGGTATTTTGTACAATAATATTGGGAAAACAATGCTGGTGATGACGGTTACTCTTGAATAGGAACAAACATTTGTGCATACATGCATATTCACAACTCTACATTAGCAAATGCCTTTAACTTTTTTTTCCCCCTTCAACAACTTTGGTATTATTTTTGCTTTTTCAATCTCTCCACCCATTCATTTCCAGATGGCTTGTCCTACATAGGGTCACAGAGATGCTGGAGCCTTTCCCAGCATCTCAGGCCACAGACAGGGAAACGCCCTGAATGAATGGCAAGTCTGTCATGATATAGTGTTGATAAATAAATGCAATTAATTCATTTAAAATAAGCAGTGGCCTCCATGGTTGCATCAGCGAAGTCCAAAACACAATTTTTGATGAACTTTTAGGAGATTGGTACTAAGAATTTTGACAAATGTTGTAAAAAAAGAGTCACCTCCAGTTGACTGAATGTACAGAGTAGCTAATTTACAGTCATCTTGTGTAACTGCAATATGTAAACTTAAATGCATAATTGACAGAATTAATTTGCTTTACTGTAAAGTCTTTAGACACAAATGTAATACGTACAACTAAATTAAAATACTACACTAAAATATTACAGTAGTTTTTGTTTTTGATGTTTACTCACTCAGTGTCAAATTTGTCTCCGATGAATACACACAGTCCTGGTCACTGTAAACAGTACATGTATATTCTCCCTCATCTTGAGCGCTCAGATTGTCCAGACGGAGAGAGAAGTTTCCATGTTGAATCTGATCAGTAAATAAATGAGCTCTATCATGATAATCCTGCTGCTGGGACTCTGCTCGACTCTTACCATCTTGATACAGATGAACCAGAGTCTCCGAGTCTGCTCTTCTCCATTCCACCACCAGACTTTGGTTTAATAAGTGTTTGTCAACATAACCGGGCAAAACCACTGAAGATCCCAGAAAAATCTGGTTACAAGGAAACCTGAAAAAGAATAGACATCTAATTTCTCATTTTAAAGTGAAAAGTGACAATTTCAAAACTGAATTTTGCAAGCTGCATTTTAGTTTGCACGAAGTGTGCAAAAAATACTATTAAAATTTAGATTTATGGAAACACTTTGCAATAAGAAATAACTTAATATAAAATATTTATAAGTGACTTTCTAATGCAAAAAAGCAAAAGAGAATTGTCAACTGTCAGTGGTTTTACATCATGGACTACTACTACTATTACAACTGTTGTTGTGTCACAAACCTCTAGTTAATTCCTTCTGAGTTACCTTTATTATGTGATCTGCAGTAGATCAGACAGCAGATGAGAAGAGCAGATCCAGATGCAGAAATACAAAGAATCAACACCATTATGTGTGAAAGGGAGAAACCTGTGAAACCCAAACAGTTACTGAACAAAGAGAATAGTAAAGTGTAACATTCCCTGTATTTAAATTGTTCCATGCGTTACGTGTTCATGTTGTGTCGTGTGTCTTTAATCAAATGTTTTGCCTCTGTTGTTTCTCCAGACAAGGTTAGCAAGAAAGAAGTTGCTTATTTTGTGGAGAATGGCTTGTTAATGCGCAAATGGTGCTCTAATAGTGAAAGTGATGCTGATTTGAATGTCATGTACCAGATTGTCATTCCTTCGGTTTATCGTCAGCATGTGCTGTGTCTGGCGCACAATCATGTGTTGTCAGGTCATTTGGGTATCACAAAATTGTACAATGGAATCCATTTCTTTTGGCCTCAGTTAAAGAGGGATGTTGTGGAATTTTGCCAGACTTGTTATACTTGCCAGTGTATGGGGAAAATCAAATCAGGTTATTCCTCCGGCTCCCCTCTCTCCCATTCCAGTTATTGGAGAGCCCTTCGAACATGTTATTATCGATTGTGTCAGACCGCTGCTTAAAACAAAGCCAAGGAATCCGTTTCGGTTAACGCTAATGTGTACTGCTACCCAGTTCCCTGAGGCAATTCCACTTCGCAAAATGACTGCTCCTGTGTTTATCAAGGCACTGGTCAAATTTTTCTCTACATTTGGCTTACCAAAAGTTGTACAAACTGACAAATTGTCTAAGATTTTTAATCAGGTCTTAAAATCACTTTCCATCACCCACAGATTTTCATCCGGAGCCTATCATCCAGAGAGTCAAGGCACACTTGAACTATTTCACCAGATACTTAAATCTATGTCAAGAAAACACTATGCAGACACAAGCAGAGATTGGGATGAAGGCATCTCCATTGGTGTTATTTTCAGTGCGTGAAACAGAGTTGCTCGGGTTCAGTGCCACTGAGCTTGTTTTTGGGCATACTATTCCAGGACCACTCAAAGTCCTAAAAGAAAACATTTTGGAAATTGAGGCAAGTCCTAAGACCAATGTGCTGAATTATGTTAGTCGTTTTAGAGAGCATTTACATAACACTTGTGACCTGGCAAAAGAATCGCTTACAGCTGTGCAAGTAGTCATGAAGTGCCAGTATGACACTAGAGCGGTCCCGCACACTTTTCAGGCCGGTGACCAGGTGCTTGTATTGTTGCCAATCCCAGGATAAATGTAGTTCAGGGAATTTAAGCTACATTACAATGAAACTAAATATTATATCAAACAGTATTGCCTCTTTTCATTCTCATTTTAACATTAATAGATTAACAGAATAAAGACCAAAGATTACCTGTTAGATTTACCCAAAACAAATTATATCTTATGTTTAACCACTACAGAGACCTCATAGCCAGCGGCAAATGTCAGAAGGACTGAGCACCCGCTGATCGCGTGGAGCTCACGTCTCCAAAATCGGCACCGCATATTTTCAAATAGGCGCTGTCTTTATAAATAAACTGCAGATTTGAGTTTTAAACTACATTCTTGCCTGAAATACTTTTAAAACTACATTTCATGACACAATAACAGTAATATATTTTTTTAAAGATGCGAATAAATGGCGGTTGAAATACAATGCTGCATGAACTCAACCAATCAGCATGTTCAGCGCTCAAGTCCTGCCCCCAAAAGTTCCAGACCTTTGAAAAAGTACTACCTTGCGGGCAGGGACCTTCTGGGGGGCAAATATTTGCCCCGTACTTTATTTAGATCCTGGTTCCTGAGGTGGAAACACACCAAGTACCGGCCCAAAGTCCCCAGTTCCTAGGGAAAGTTCCTGTGGTGGAAACAGGGCTTATGTAATTTGTTCTCCTGAAAGAAAACGGCAGTCACAAGTGTCACGTAAACATGTTGAAAGCATATAATCTTAGAGTCCACAAGGAAAAACTACTGAGAAAGCATCCGCACCTGTTGTTTCTTCTGTGTCATGGAATGCTCCAAAACAAGAAGAATGTTCCAAATGCAGAATTTATTGAATAGTCCAAAAACAAACATCATGCCACATCAAGGTAAAAACAGAGCAACAGTAAACAATAAACCAGCAACCAAAGACAAATAAAACCAGGCTTATACGGATGTTTAATAAGGTAAATGGGACACAGCTGAATATAATGAGGCTTGATAGTCAAGGCAAAGGGTGATGGGAACTAAAGTCCAGAGAAACAAACAATGTGACATTGAGTGGGCTCTGGAATGAACCCATGGACTTGAGTAAGCTCTGGACTGGAAATAGACTCTGGAATGAATTTGTAGACTTGAGTGGGCTCTAGAGTGGACTCTGAAGGCTCCCATCCACGCAGAACAGCCCAGAGGCCAAAGGTAAAGATGGCCTTCTTTTTTATGGCAGCAGCAGTGAAATTGGGCTGTTCTGTGGCGACCTCTGAGACCACCAGGACCACCAGACTCAGGACCACCAGAGTCAGGTCCTCCAGGACCACCGGACTCAGGACCACCGGAATTGAGTCCTCCAGGACCATCGGACTTGGGTCAGACTCGTAGACTGGAGCAGGTTCTGGTGCAGATTCAAGGACTGGAGCGGGCTCCGGGAGAACTGGAGTGGACCTTGCTGCCCTCCTTCTCGACCTTCGCTTGCGAGACTGAGACACTGAAGATTCACTATCCACTGGAGCGGGCTCAGACATCTCCAGGGGCACTGCAATGGACTCAGACCGACATGATATTACTAAGTTGCGGTAACAGAGATAATCAATGTAACTCCAAAAGTCGAGACCCTTAAGCCCCTCCATCTCCCGAGGTGGCAAGGGGTTGTCTAAGCCAGTGGTTCCCAACCCTGGTCCTGGAGGCACCCCAACACTGCATGTTTTGCATGTCTCCTTAATCAAACACACCTGATTCAGGTCATCAGCTCATTAGTAGAGACTCCAAGACCTGAAACTGGTGTGTCAAAGAAAGGAGACATGCAAAATGTGCAGTGTTGGGGTGCCTCCAGGACCAGGGTTGGGAACCACTGGTCTAAGCAATCATTAAAAATCTTTCTGAGCTCAGACTCACAAAGTTCCAGTCCTACCGCCAAAGTCCAGAAGGTCTGAGCAAAACCTCCTACTTCCATCCCCTGCTGGCGAAGATCCACCATCATCCGGAGCCGAGCCTTCCACTCCGAATGGAAGAATACGAATGCCCATGGTCCACAATACAATAAGCCCAGCCTAGCTGCTGGATCGGTTGATGGCTGGTTTATTATGTCACAGAATGCTCCAAAACAAGAAGATCCAAATGCAGCATTTATTGACGAGTCCAAAAACAAACAGCGTAATCCACATCAGGGCAAAAACAGAAAACACATAACAGTAAACAACAAATCAGCAACCAAATACAAAGAAAACCAGGCTTATATAGACGAGTTAACAAGGTAAATGGGACACAGCTGAATGTAATGAGGCTTGATAGTCAAGGCAAAGGGTGATGGGAACTGAAGTTCAGAGAAACAAACAAAACTAAGAAGTGTGCCCTCTGGTGGCTATACATGGGCACACCAACTAGACACTGTGACATTCTGTTGTAGTAGTTAGCGAGGATATATCTTCTGCTCGGGTATCTGCTGCTAGTGTAACGGGTATGGAAAGTAATGTTAATTTCATATGTAGAATTACACAAAAATGTTCACGATGTATACCTGATATGCCTGTCTGTGTGTGCACCAACACTGGCCAACACTGAGGTTGGTTAATACAGTGTTGGCCGGTGTCCCAAATTGTAACGCATATCTGGATGACTTAGTAGTGTACTCATCTGAGTGGTCAGAACACATTTCTTTGTTGCACACCATGTTTGAACGACTTGCCAAAGCTACATTAACTCTAAATCTGACCAAATGCAAATTTGTTTGGTAAAGAAGTTGACTAAGGTCAAGTTTGTCCCATTGCGGCCAAAGTTTCCGCCATAACTGACTTTCCTGTTCCCAACACCAGATGCAAGTTGCACCGATTTTTAGGCATGACTGGATACTATCGCAGTTTTTGTCACAATGTTTCCAGTGTTATTTGTCCCCTCACAAATTTACTTAGTCCATCCCAGCAGTTCGTTTGGTCAGCTGAGTGTCAGTAGGCATTTGGAAATATTAAAGCTTTGTTCTGCTGCGCCCCAGTCCTCGCGACTCCAGACGTTGAATTCCCAGTACTCCTCCTAGAGGACCGAAATAGGGTTGAACACCATGTCTGTTATTTTTCCAGGAAATTTAATAAACATCAACTCAACTATTCAACCATAGTAAAGGAAGCTCTTGCATGTTGGCACTACAATATTTTGAAGTTTACATTGGTTCTAGTTCTCTTCCTGTTACTGTTTATATGGATCATAATCCGTTAGTATTCCTCTCTCGCAGGTACAATCGCTGGGCCCTGATCGTACAAAATTATAATTTGGAAATTTGCCACAAGAAAGGAGCAGAAAATGTAGTAGCGGATGCCCTTTCTAGATGTGCCTAGTTGAACTCTGGTTTGTGCTGTAGTTTTGGTTTTAGGATTTAACAAACAATATTGCCATATACAGTATGTTTGTTCTTATGGGTGGGGGTTTTATGTGTTCGTGCTTTGTCATGTGCTTCGCTCTGTCTTTGCTTCTTGTTTACTTTCACTTTCTTAGTTACCGGTCATTGGTCCTGTCACCTGTCAATCTTCATTAGCGCTGACGGGATCCCTCCTGCTGTTCCCAAGACCCTTCCAGATAAAAGAGCCCCCCCCCATGTTGTTGCTGTTTTGTGCTCGTCATTTTTGTTGCCATCCGGTTTAATTCTTGTATCCCCTTTTATTGGTGTTGCTTGCCCTACGTGTATGTTTGCCTTCATTTTATATTTGTTCCCACTCCCCCTTAATGTAACATATTTAAGCATGCGTTGCATTATTATATGTTACGAGGCTGGGAATAAGCGGACAGGTAAGAACATCGTGACATACATTGCAACCCATAGGATCTGCCTTTGTATTACATTAGTGTAACGGAGGCCAGCGGTAGGTGCTGTGCAGGTAAACCTCACTCCCCTGATCTCAAGAGACGCACTAGTGACTGACGCTAGTGGCTGCAGTCTTTAACCTCCTTGTTAGTGCATCCGCCTCTCATGCCGGAGACCCGGGTTTGAGACCCACTCGGAGCGAGAACGAGGTGTGGCAGTGAGGACCCATGAGAGAGGGGTTACATTAGGTTAGGGCGAGTGCCACCCCTTGTACTTTTGCTTTTGGATAGAAAATGTAGCTTAGTTAGAGCGTCTCGGAAGCGAAAGACTTTTCTTTTTCACAAAGTAGTTAGGCTTAGGGGGATATTTATAAGTTAGAGGGTGTTTGGTTTTGTTATTTTCTTTGATTTAACTCCGCCCATGTCCCTTCTTCCCGTTCCCACTAAACCTCACTCCCCTGATCTCAAGAGACGAGCTAGTGGCTGTAGTCTTTAGCCTCCTTGTTAGTGCATCCACCTCCCATGCCGGAGACCCAGGGTTTGAGACCCACTCGGAATGAGAATGAGGTGTGGCGGTGAGGACCCGGGGAAGAGGGGTTACATTAGGTTAGGGCGAGAGCCACCCCTTGTACTTTTGCTTTTGGCTAGAAAATGTAGCTTAGTTAGAGCGTCTCGGAAGCGAAAGACTTTTCTTTTTCACAAAGTAGTTAGGCTTAGGGGGATATTTATAAGTTAGAGGGTGTTTGGTTTTGTTATTTTCTTTGATTTAGCTCCGCCCATGTCCCTTCTTCCCATTCCCACTGTCTTGAGTATGACTGTTTCTATAAATACATTTATACCACTTTTTTTGTTTCGCCATCAAACCTTTATATTTACATCGTATTTACGAAAACTCAATTAACATTAGGATTTTTCCATTTTTGATGAAAAACAAACAGATATTGAAACTAGGCCTGTTAATTTTACACATTATCCTAGAAAATAAATAAATGAAATACTGAAGAGATTAACTTATGTTTATAAGAAAATACCCGACCAGAAATGTAAAACAAAAAAATGTATAAACATTTTATATATATATATATATATATATATATATATATATATATATATATAATAACCTACTATTGAATGTCTTTATTAAGAATTGCAGTAGACATGAAAGAGTTAATGTGAATGAATTAATGAATTCATGTCTATTTTGCCTATTTTGGATTACTTGGTGGATGATAGGTACATTTAGGTACTTTTTTTAACAATATGCATTGTGACATATGCTTTACAAATGAACTACAAAAATCCCTATTATAACTGAAGGCATTAAACATTTTACGTTTTTTTTTTTTTTTACAAAGTATGATAGCTTCATCTTTAATCTGTTACTCACCCAGTTGATCCAATACTGCAGTTGCATATGCTGAAAGTTCTCCAGCAAACACTTGACAAGTGTAAACTCCTTTATCCTCAGTTCTGACACTCTTCAGTCTGAGAGAGAAGTTTCCTTTGTGGATTTCAGTAGTGAAGCACTCAACTCTGTCTCTGTATCGCTCATCTGATGAATCTGATAAAGACTTATTGTTTTGGTAGAGAAGAACTAGAATATCTATATCTTCATCTGTTTTCTTCCATGAAACCTCTTCAATGTGTTCAGGTGTGATGTGAGAGTCTACAGAGCAGTTCAGAGTGATGTCCTCACCCACAGACGCAGAAATGGAATGACTCGATCCTGATACTTTTAAATGATCTGGAAAAAAGTGAAATTTCAGCATATCAGCTAACAAAATGTATTTTATTGTGCACCAGAAGGACTATGCACAATCAACCATATTATACATATACAGTGGGTACGGAAAATATTCAGACCCCCTTACATTTTTCACTGTTTGTTATATTGCAGCCATTTGCTAAAATCATTTAAGTTTATTTTTTTTCCTCATTAATGTACACACAGCACCCCATATTGACAGAAAAACACAGAATTGTTGACATTTTTGCAGATTTATTAAAAAAGAAAAACTGAAATATCACATGGTCCTAAGTATTCAGACCCTTTGCTCAGTATTTAGTAGAAGCACCCTTTTGATCGAATACAGCCATGAGTCTTTTTGGGAAAGAGGCAACAAGTTTTTCACACCTGGATTTAGGGATCCTCTGCCATTCCTCCTTGCAGAGCCTCTCCAGTTCTGTCAGGTTGGATAGTAAACGTTGGTGGACAGCCATTTTTAGGTCTCTCCAGAGATGCTCAATTGGGTTTAAGTCAGGGCTCTGGCTGGGCCATTCAAGAACAGTCACAGAGTTGTTGTGAAGCCACTCCTTCGTTATTTTAGCTGTGTGCTTAAGGTCATTGTCTTGTTGGAAGGTAAACCTTCGGCCCAGTCTGAGGTCCTGAGCACTCTGGAGAAAGTTTTCGTCCAGGATAACCCTGTACTTGGCCGCATTCATCTTTCCCTCAATTGCAACCAGTCGTCCTGTCCCTGCAGCTGAAAAACACCCCCACAGCATGATGCTGCCACCACCATGCTTCACTGTTGGGACTGTATTGGACAGGTGATGAGCAGTGCCTGGTTTTCTCCACACATACCGCTTAGAATTAAGGCCAAAAAGTTCTATCTGTGTCTCATCAGACCAGAGAATCTTATTCAGGTGTTTTTTAGCAAACTCCATGCAGGCTTTCATGTGTCTTGCACTGAGGAGAGGCTTCCGTCGGGCCACTCTGCCATAAAGCCCCGACTGGTGGAGGGCTGCAGTGATGGTTGACTTTCTACAACTTTCTCCCATCTCCCAACTGCATCTCTGGAGCTCAGCCACAGTGATCTTTGGGTTCTTCTTTACCTCTATACATTTTATATATATATATATATATATATATATATATATATATATATATATATATATAATAACCTACTATTGAATGTCTTTATTAAGAATTGCAGTAGACATGAAAGAGTTAATGTGAATGAATTAATGAATTCATGTCTATTTTGCCTATTTTGGATTACTTGGTGGATGATAGGTACATTTAGGTACTTTTTTTAACAATATGCATTGTGACATATGCTTTACAAATGAACTACAAAAATCCCTATTATAACTGAAGGCATTAAACATTTTACGTTTTTTTTTTTTTTTACAAAGTATGATAGCTTCATCTTTAATCTGTTACTCACCCAGTTGATCCAATACTGCAGTTGCATATGCTGAAAGTTCTCCAGCAAACACTTGACAAGTGTAAACTCCTTTATCCTCAGTTCTGACACTCTTCAGTCTGAGAGAGAAGTTTCCTTTGTGGATTTCAGTAGTGAAGCACTCAACTCTGTCTCTGTATCGCTCATCTGATGAATCTGATAAAGACTTATTGTTTTGGTAGAGAAGAACTAGAATATCTATATCTTCATCTGTTTTC